TTCAGCTCAGCGGTTTTTCCTGTTCCTTTCCCTCCCTCTATCTCTCTCTTTAAGTCTATCCAACAACAACACATAGTTTTCGTATATGAGAAGATTTTTGCGACCAACAATAAAGCACTTATATGAGATGTATTCACCCCATTTCGTGTAAGGCGATGAAGGACTGGTAGTATAATTTTTCCACAATGATATAGGCAGAGCTGACGTTTATATTGAATTTCGCAAAGCGTTACTTTCTAAAAAGTTGTTCTCATCCAGGGTGAACTGCAGCTTCGACCTCAGCTAGGTCTGATCAGCAGCCATAGTGGGACTTGAACCACGACAGTGTAGAGTGTAATATCGACACCCTAATCACTCAGCCACATTGCCACGAGTGCCCTTGGGTCATTGGGAAGATGTGAATTTCAAAAATTTTCCATATCACATAGTACGTTTTTACCGGAATCAAAGGAGATTACGCCGGAGACAGCGTCAACATGGATGCTCCAGTAAAGCTAATCGATAGCTGTTCAATAGAAATCCGCCGTCGTTTCCTGGCGGAATCGACCTTGAAGTCTCTTCACCAAATACTTTCATTGTAAATGTAGGTAAGCTCAAAAAGTATGCCCTTTTTGACGAGTTTAGTGTGGTGTTATCACATCTGCTGTTCACCTTGGCCCCCTTCCCCTTTGATTCGCTGATCGGAATCGAGTCTCCTAACCGGATCTCCATCATGGACCCTGAGATATGTTTCTTATATTTCTGGTTAACTGATTTCAGTCGGTTCCATTCCCAGTGTAAGTTTTACATAATATATGCGAATAAAAGTTGGGTTTCGAGGAATCTCTTGTTTCATAATTGTTGAGCTTACTTCCAAATCGAGTGAAAGTATTTAGTGAAGATATTCGAAGGCCGATTCCACCAGAAGACGACGGCGGACTCCTCTTGGCCAGCTGTCGATTGGCTTTACTGGAAGATTGATGCTGACGCTGTTTCCGAGGCAATCTCCTTCGATTCCGGTAAAAAGGTGCAAAAATGAGGCGACGCAACTAGTCTTTTCTTGTCTTGGTTCTAATTATAGTCACTTCTCTGTACTTTAAGCTCACTTTTTCTCTCTCGCATTGAGACCAAAAACAAAAAATAGGCTCGTCGACAAAACCAAACGTGTGTCCGACCTTGCGCAATCGGAGTGATGGTTATAACATGTATGTAGAAAGGTGGGAGATAGGGGTCATCAAACCTTCATGGCCAAAAACAGACGTTCCTTTTTAAGCCATCACTTCGGGTTTCGTGCATAATCGAACACAAACAGGCACATACAAATACAGATACAGACACACTAATATGCATCGAATTTGTCATGTGACCCTAACTAACCAAATAACTTTATAACTGATCAAAGAGGCCAGATGTAGAGTATATATACCACTTTTTAGGGATTTGCCGGTGAGTTTTCTTGACTTTTTAGCTTCAATTTTGTTGTACCGATGTTACCTCGCTCTGATGATATCCGTCATATGACGGACGAAAGTTTAGCATCTTTTCCCTGGAATTGAAGGAGATTGCCTCGGAAACAGCATCAGCATGAATCTTCTAGTAAAGCCAATCAACACCTAGTCAAGAGGAATCCGCATTCGTCTTCTGGTGGAACCGACCTTCGAATCTCTTCACCCAACACCTTCACTCGTAATGGAAGTAAGCTCAGCAAATAAGTTTTATGTGCCTTTAGTAGCACGTTCAATATCGCCTCACCTAGCAGAACTAAAGATTAGCTGAGCAAATAGATTATCGTAAAGACAGTTGCGTCAAATAATCATTAGTAGAGGAACACAAAACTGAGAATGGGCATAAGATAGAATGGTCTAATGCCGAGGTTTGCTGATTATGGTATGTCTGCCGCAAAACCCAAGATACGAAATTCTATTGAAATTAATAGATAAGAAAATATATTGAATGTGAGGAGTGGTGGTAGAAAGTTGAGTAAGAATTAATAATTTTTTAGTAATACGAGATGTATTCACCCTATTTCATTTAAGGTAATGAAGGACTGGTAGTCTAATTTCCCCACAATGATATGAGTAGAGCTGACGTTTCCATTGAATCTCACATTGCCTTGATTTCCCAAAAGTTGTTCTCATCCAGGCACCAGTAAACTGCAGTTTCAACCTCGCATAGACTTCGACTCCCGCTGGGGGTATTGATAAGACTTTTGGGAAAGCAAGGCTATGTGAAATCGAATGGAAGCGTCAGCCCTACTCAAATAATTGTTGGGAAATTCTACTAACAGTATTTCATCACCTTAACTGAAATAGGGTGAATAGATATCAAGAATTAATAGCGTTTGATTGATAGATTGCAAGACAAAGCTGGTGTTGAGCCACAGTCCAAAAGAAGAAGATTAACTTTGTTCGATAGACATGTCAAGCTCATCAGACGTGCGGGACTAAGCAATCACATCCGAGCCTCTCATTGTATGATCAAACCTGAAAAACCCAGGCCAATGGGTTCGGACTGGTGTTCTCATAGCCTGTCTCACATCTCATCAATTTAAACAGGGTTATTTACTGACTAATTCAATTTCGTTGTTGGGCGGACTTTCATTTCGTATGAAATTGCATGAAAAAGAGTTTCTTAAGTTGATCATACCAGAAGGCGACGGCTGAATCCCTTTGTACTGAAGTCGTTTAGCTTTAATACAACGTTCAGCTAGACTCAGTCCCCGAGACATCCTCCCTTGCTTCGGGCGAAAACTGGTTGACCTTTTGTCCAAAATTTGATGGGCATCCTCAATGCTGGAGCCAGTTCTTGTAAAAGTCTCACGTTAATTCTAGGTCTTCGCCCGAAACGTTGGAGGATGTATCGTGGTCTGCATCAACCTGAGCGTCGTATTAACGTCAAATGGCTCCAGTACAACGCGGATCAGCCGACGCCTTGTGGAGAGATTGACCTGCGAAACTCTTCATCATGTACTTCCATACAAAATGAAAGTCTTCACATCAGAAGACAATGCAACGAGAAGATTGAATGTATACTGCAAGACAGGACCACGTATCGTGTACTAGAGAAGGAACCAACCATGAAGAAGAATGAAACATTACGGAAAATGCTGAAAGATATGCATGGAAACTGCGAAAAAGACGGATAGATGATAATTTCACTAATAAGAAAGGATGCACGACGATCAACGGCCTATGGAATACCGAAGATAAACGAAGAAAGCGAATCACTAAGGCTAATAGTCGACAACAGGTATGGAGCAACACACAAACTGGCAGAATTCGTATGTTTGAAACTAAAGGAGTAAACGACAGATTATCAATTACAGTGAAATATTAATATGAAATTTTCTCAAAGGACTAAAAATATGGCGCTGGAAGAAACAGAACTATTGGTAGGTACGCAAACATCTCAGGAAAAATGAGCTAACGGCCTGGCTGGATATGTTATGCCGAGAAGAGGATATCCTGGAAACAAAGGATTAGAAGGGAGTCGTTAATATTACTAATCAACTTGACAATAAGGACTATGTTTTTCACATTAAAGGGGAACATTTATGAACAAATATTTGGGCCTTTTATGATATCGCAGCTTTAATCTGTTTTGGCAAACGTATACATGAACAAATTAGAAGAGGATTTAAAGATATCATCGCAGCAACCAAAAGTGCTTATGTGGTACCTGGAAGACTAATTCATACTTTGATCGCATGGAAGAGAAAAACTGTAAGATTCATAAAAAAATCAAATTCACGATGGAAGAAGAGGAAGGTGAGCGGTTACCATTCGTGGATGCTGAAGTGATTTGCTCTAATGAGACGCTCAAGAGGAAATTGTTCAGAAAGAAGTCATGTGACGGAATAATACTCAATTTTCAGTTCCATCATAACTACAGGTTTAAGAAAGGAATAATTAGGGGCATGATCATCAACGTGGGATTCTGGGTAGGAGAGATGGACAAATTGATTAGGATTTGCCTCTGCAACGGATACCCGAGAGAAGTAATAGAAAGAAACTTAATAACAGTGAAGAGACGATGGCAGGATGAGGATTATGAAAGAAAGAAAAGAATGTAGAAAGACTCACAAAAGTTGATATGCCTACCTTCATGCAAAATAACTCAAAAAATATGGCCAATACTAAGAAAATGAAGTATTTAGATAACCACGAAGAAGAAAACAAAGCTCTTTACAAGTATTCCGACGCAACATGTGAGAGTGGATAAATTGTCCGAAGTCCTCTGCTATAAGAGTTATCATAATTCCCAGCATCGAACCGTGGACTTGGTACATCCCCAAACGTTTCACCGGAATCGTTGGTGAGTCTTGCCATTCTCAGCACCAAGCTGCAACTCGTCAAAGAGACAAATGAAATCAATATATGAGTTGCTTTCACCCTAATTTGTTTAAGGTGATAAAGGTCTTGTAGTTGATTTGTCCCACAATGACATGAGTATAGATGAGTTTTTCCATTGAATTTCACATAGTCTTGCTTTCTCAAAAGATGTTCTCATCCATACAGAATTAGACTGCAGTTTCGACATCGAATAGGTCTTAACAACACCTCAAGCGGGAGTCGAACAATGACAATGCAGCATGTAAGCTCGACACGTTAACCACTACGCCATATTGTCACGAGTGCAATTGGGTCACATGGCATATGTGTATTTTAAGAAATGTCAGACATTTTCCATATAAAATTCTGTGTTGGGATTTTCGAAGAAGCAACCTTATAGTTGCTATAGCAAATATAACTACTTATCTACGAAAAAAAGTAATGTCGTCGATTACTATGCGAGGTTGAAACTGCAATCTACTTCTGTCTGGATGAGAACACCTTTTGGGAAAGCAAGACCACGTGAAATTTAATGGAGAACCTTAGCTCTACTCATATAATTGTGGGAAAAATAAACTATAAAACTTTCATCACCCTAAGCGAAACAAGGTTTTCTACACTCCTTCCTTGTATTCAGGACGTTGGCTGTTTTATTAAATTCTATATACTCCCTAATCTTGCGCTTTGAGGTGAAGCCCCCATAACCCGCAAAACTTTATCTTTTGGACCAGTCTATTGAGTGTCCTGTATTGACAAAGTGTGTTCAGCGAGCTCAGATTTTTGGATCCATAGACCTTTACAAGCGGTTTTGTGTTCGCATAGTCTCTTCTGGAAGGTTAGGTCAGTCTCCCCCACATAGACCTTACCTCATTAACACAAAACCTTATGACAGCCTGATCTAGAAAGGGGATCTGAAAATTTTCTAAACGAAGGAACTATTAAAGCAAGTGTTAATTTCTCTTTATACCTTGTTTTAATGTTCCACTTCTTCAGTAGATCACCCAAACCTTTTGCAAGCTGACAGGAAGGTAAAATCAGGAACTGAGTAGAATGTTTGAAGGTCTATCTTGCCCCAGATAGCAACTCCCCGCATTCTGCCACTGGCAATTTATATGTTATTGTCTACTAATCTTTTTGTGTAAAGGTTTTGGAATATTTCAATTCACCGATCTCCTTATCCCTGTGGTTTACGTCTGCCAGACGCAGACCCCTTATTATCACTGATTGTAAAACTCCTGTTTTGATTCTATATGCATGGTTGGAGAAGAAATTAATAAGGAAACCCGCTTGTGTGGGTTTACAATACACGTCTCTAACTAACTTATTAGCTTCTTTGTTCACTAATAAATCCTAAAAAGGGAATTTATTTTCCTTTTCTAACTCAATGGAAAGCTTAATAGTTGCATCTCTTCTATTTATTAGCTCAAAGAATTCCCCCAAACTATCTTTTCCGTTGATAGAAGTGGGTTGACTTCGTTGTCGCAACTTGATCTTGTTGTCAGGGGGACAAGGTAGAACGCACCTAGTCCGAAGTCGTCTGCCATAGTAGTTGTCATGATTCCCAGCATCTGACCGTGGACT